CAATATGAATGAAAATTACTTTATGTCGGGATTGACAACGAAGCGAGAATGGACTGTGTAATATTCCAGCGGTACTGGGATTCCACACGGCGTGCGGTAGGTAGTGATCACGCACAAATTGTGCAGTTGATCGGCCTCTTTTTATAATCAAAGCACTAAATGTGCGCTACAAACCCAAAGAGTCAGAGAACCAGTTTAGTTAAGTTTTATACCAACAAATCTTCCGTTTCAAAATTATTTTTAAATTAAAGTAACTTGAACTTCCTCAGTGATTCAGCGGAACTGTGGATGAGGAATTGACCAAAAAAGCAGAAATGATGTTTTCTGTATGTATTAAAGCATTTCAAGTCCAAGTATTTTTTCATTCGAAAAAAAGGAAATGTTGACAGGTGCAAGTCATAATACAGTCGGCCAATCAAATGTCACTTGTCGAAGTACTTATACATTAAAATCTCGACAACTAAACCTCAGGGGAATGGAGTTATTCTGAAAAAGTATTTATTAAACTAAACCACTTCATCATGGTACGTACCTTCGTGTGGCAAAACTTTCATACCCCATAGTCATTTAACAACGTGAAGCGCTGCTATTTTTTTCATTTGGGCTTCCCTATGTGTGGTCACCTGACCTTTCTTTTTACGGTCACATGGCTGCTGCAGTGTCGGTGATTGGACTGCCTGAAGGGGACTACAATTGGGCCCGCGTTGCAATCAGGTTAGTTTCAGCGTCTTGAAAGCCAGGATTACACAGTTGCAGCGATGTTGATTTATGCAACGTGCTGGTCTTCATCAGAAAAGAAATGAACTTGCGATGACTCCTAACCCTGTATAGACTTCCGATACTTTCAACGCCGTTTGAAGCATTTTGGTGGCGTTTTTTTGAATCAGAAACTTCAAAATAAGTGGATGTAATGGTGTGGGCATTGTTCGAGTTACGGTGGTATTTTTGTACATAAAACTTTAAGCCTTTTAACCCATGACGTACATAGCACTGATCTGGTCCACACGTTACACGACCAGCGCTCACCATTTGTGCACGCCAGATGCGTTCTGCATGTACGTGGTCATGCAGCATCCGGGACATTTCCTTTGAGCGTTTGCAGGTGCGTTTATCATGCACATGGTTTGCAGCTCTGTTCTCTTTTCTGATGTTCCCCGTGAAGATTTGTTTTTCTGTTTCATACACCCACAAAAAATTTGCAAACTGAAGGTAACAATTTCGTTTGATAAAAAGGTAGGAGAGATTAACTCCGACGTTTAGAACAATGTTCTGCTTGCTTCCTATGTACGAAAAAGAACCGTGTTTCGGGCAAATAATCCACCGGGTCGCGCACAATGCCATTCGTTTTTAGACGATCTCTTTTCCGGGTACCCGATGTTAACAAAAAACGGGTACCCGGTTCTAAAAATACCCGCAAATGCACACCCATATATATTAATTTACTGAGAAATTTAATTCCGATCTCCACCGATCATAAACTTATCTCCGTTATCTCTTTCTATATAAGCACACATAAAATTTTTTTAAAACCCAAAATATCTAACACTAAGGTTATTCAATCTTGATCCAATTTTGGGAACCCAAAATCTCTCCAGTATTGAATTGTAGTATATTGCCATTACCTACATGTAACTAACATATTGTCGAAAAAATATTGATTCTACCGTATTTGGTTCCTGAGATAAACAAAAGGTCCAAAAATCAAGGAAATTCACATAAAATCACATGATGCTGTCATCAACACGGCAGTGCATTTTTTGTCTATAACAAGTCCCGTAATACTTGTGTACAAACTTTCAATTGAATCGGAGTTGTAGTTCTTGAGATATAGAGCTCTAAAGTTTGCTTTTTTGTAGTGACGTCACATGACACGTGATGACGTCACCATTACGAAAATGACTTAGAACCAATGTGGGGTGGAGGTCTAACTATATGTCAAGTATGAAGTGAATCAGAAAAGAAACAATTGCCAAAGTGGCACCTAGAAAAAAACGTGTAATCCTAGATGGGATTTCTAGCGGAATAAAAAAAAAACCCTGGAGGTTCTATGTCTGTTTGCCAACAGAACATAGGGCTTTTTCGCCGAATGTTATTGAACTTTTTTGATAGGCATGCCATGCAACAAGAATTTTGAATGTATGATGTTGCATTAGTGAGATATGGCAAAAAAAGTCAATGGCAAAAAGTAAACATTCAAAAAGCAATAATAAATCACCTGTGACATCATCATGACATCATTACTATGGTAATATCTTTGTGTTGGGGTAGTTGCCTTGTCTAAGTATTGCGAAGATCAACATTTTATACATGACTAAAATTCATGCTTTGGATCTGTGTACAAAGTAAATGGGAAAATCAAATATTCAAAAATCAATAATAAATCACCTGATGACATCATCATGACGTCATTACAATGGTAATATCTTTGTAATTGGAATAGTTGCCTGATGTCACTTTTGTGAAGATTGACGCTTCATAAATGACCAAAATTAAGGCTTTTAATCTGTGTACTAAGTCAATTGGAAAATTAAATATTCAAAAATAAATAATAATTCATTTGATGACATCATCATGATGGCATTTCAGATGTTGTGTAATTGGACTACTATCTACTGTACTTACCCACCAAGTTTCACAACTATCGAACTTGTGTGTTTTGCAAAATCACCTTTTTGATGACGTCATCATGACGTCACACAATTTTCCAAATTTTGTGCATTGACGTATTGGCCAACAAACCTAACACAAAAAGAATTTTGAATTTATTATATTTGGTTAGTGAAATATGGCAAAAGCCCTTAAAAATTCAAAATTATGTATAAAATTACATGATCATGTCATGATGACGTCATCCCAATTTTTATATATAACACATCCCTGTCTAACCACATATCAAGTTTCAACCCAATTGGACTTATCGTTCTGTAGATATAGGGCTTTGAAATATGTAACTTCGTGATGACGTCACATGACCTATAATGATGTCATCATGATGTCACACTTCCCGGCACGCTTCATAATGATCACGCTTCATAACGATCAGATGTTCGCTTATATGTGTTTTTAAAAATCGCTTTTTTTATGGCATCATCATGAAGTCACACCAATATCGTGAATTGTAGTATATTGCCATTACCTAACAAACATATTGTCATGAGATATAAATGAAAGGTCCAAAACAAAAAAACAGTAAAATCGAGTAAATTCACAGAAAATCACATGATGACACATGTAAGACATCCCGATATACTTGCATACCAAGATTCAATTGAATCGGAGTTGCACTTCTGGAGATACAGAGCTCTAAAGTTTGCATTTTTGGAATGATGTCACGTGACTCGAGATGACATCACAGTGACGAAAAGTTCTAGGACCAATGTGGGGAGGTGGTCTATGTGCCAAGTATGAACTTGATCGGAAGTGAACCGCCTGCCAAAGTGGCACCCAGAAAGAAACACGTGTTATCCTATGGGTTTTGAAGTGGAAAAAAAATCAAGAAAAAAATAACAAAAACAATAGCTGTTTCGCAGGATGCGCAACAGCTAATAATAATAATTAAAAAAACAAGGGAAAAAAAAGAACAAGAACAATAGCTGTTTCGCAGTATGCTTTCAGCAGGCAATTGGCCACTGATGAGTGCCAGACCTGGATGACAGGTAGTGGGGTCAATGTGAATTGTTTGCATGTATAGTGTACTTGCAGTGCCAGCATAAGGCACAAGAAGTATGTTAGCACGGCGGGTACATGTGTACAAGTAGCAGGACCTCAGAATATTGCTTTTTTTTCAAGCTACACCATCTTTTCAGAATATCAACCTGAGGCATTCTTGTTTGCAGGAGTTTGCAGGATTCAGGCAGTGGTGTTCAGCATGTTCAGTCACAACTATCGCAGGATTTTGCTGGATTCAAGTTACTTGGGACTTTTACATCACATTGAAATTAATTTGCAGGATTCAGGTTACGTCCATAAAAAAGGGGTAGGGAGTTACGGTTAAAAATTAGGCCTTAACGTTGTCAAGTAAAAATTAAGAGTTCATTTGCAAAAACAGATATGTCCATTTCTGAAAATTTCATCAATCCTGTTTTCCTAGTCCTTAACCCTAACTCTCCTGAATCGTCCAATTTTAATATGATTTTACAAACACCCTAGTGAGTTGCAGTTAATGTGAAGAAATAGCAGTACACCTGAACACAGGACAATTAGTTAAGTGTGACAACTCCTGTTGGTCACAATTAATTATCCTGTGTTCAGATGTACTGCTTTACGTTTCTTTACATTAAGAGCTACGAAAACAAGACCAATGAAAATTTTCAGAAATGGAGTTATCCGTTTTTGCAAATGAACTCTTCAAATGCTCTTGGGCTTGTATAAAAGTCAACATTGCTTGTCCAGCTGGCCAGTGAACAAAGTTTTTTGTAATGATATTTAAAGTTCAAAGTAGCAGAAGACAAGCTAAATACTCAAAATGTGACAGATTGAAAAAGAAAAAGACAACATTCACTCAACTGCAAGTAACAAAGGGATGCCAAAGGGATTCCACTGAAGTTTGGTGTTTTAAAGATGCACATTTACTTGTTATGGTCTATTTTCACAAACTGGTTGGAGATTTTTCATAAATACACATGTAGGCCTTGTCAAGCAGTGAGAACTATTCTAACATCGTAATCCTTTACGAGCGGCAGGAAGGCTTCAATTAGGTCTTGTCAAGAAATTGCACACTTACATCAGGGGCTGAGTGAAAAATGTCATCGGCATTTTATCCTGATTTTCAACCTGCAATTCCGGTGTACTGTACATTGACATGTACATGGAGAATCAGGAACTGCTGCAGCTGTACCATTCTAATCAAGTAAACTCTCAGATCTTAAATGTCATTTTAACACCAAAAAATTGTGAAACTGCAGTAAAATTATTGTCAGTTAATTGTCAGTTAATGAAGGAAACTGCATTTTCACGGTTCTCAAATTTACAGTGTGACTTCATTATGAATTTTTACATACCGTACACATTCCCTTTCTTTCCATCATTCAAGTCCATCAAAAGACATCTATTAAGAAAGATAAAAAGAAGCAAGTAATAAAAGAAGCAAGTAATAAAAGAAGCAAGTAATAAAAAGGTTTGTTGTAATGGTGTATTGAGAATAAATTACCTTGCTGATACCAGTCCTCAATCCTTCAGCTCAAGTTACATGTAATCACTGTGTTAATAATAATATACATGTAGCTGTACCCAGCGCATGTACAGCTAGTATGTTCGGGTTCCGCGGTCCCAACATCAGAAAGATTTCCATAATACTTTCACTTATTTTCCTGTAAAGTGACTTACAACCCCCTAGATAGTAATTACAGGTCATAAAAGTCAATTTGAGCAGTTAGAAAATGTAAGCATTTTCTTAAGTGACAAAATGTAAGCATTTACTTAGCAAAACACTTAGAATTTGTCAGACCAGTTTTATAGGGTTTGTACACAGGGTGTTCAGTGAAATCTTTCCCTTGCAGGAATACATGTATGCAGGATCCAGGTTACTACATGTAGGCCTATTGCACCACATGACATTGCAGGATTCAGGTTACTTGAGGAATTGTGATAAAAGAGGATTTTGCATGATTCAGGTTATGTATGTAGCCTAAACTTGTACATTTGCAACAGAGGGTCAGTCAGTGAAACGCTTACAATTGCTGGGAAATGAGACACCCTTAGGGGCCATTCATAATTTTCAATGTTTTAAAATTCCGACTTTTTTCGAAATTGTTGGTGGGTGGGTTAAGGTAAAAAATTGAAAATTGAAATTCTCTTTTTCTTCAAAAAATGTTGAAAATGTACCCAAAAAATGAAATCTCAACTTGCCCAACTCAGCATAAGCATTCCATTTTACGTCTCTTTACTGCTACATTACAGCAGTGCTAAAATGCTGCATTGTGCATCGCTGTATATTTTTATAATGCGTAGACTTGGATATGCGGCTGATTTCACGGCGAAACTGCGCAAATGCTTAACTCGACTTTTGCGGCAGTAAGTTTGATACATTACACAAAATGCTGCACAAGTTGACTTACGCAGTTGCGCACAGTTTAATGCACATCACTAACAGTGTAACGTACACGTACATGTACGTCACATGGTGCGACGATATAAGGTTCAAAGGTACAATGTAGATGTCGTTGCCACCTCCGTGATTTGCTCATGGCGACTCAAAATCCTCTGAATTTACCTCCAAAATGCTCCCAAAATCACTCATGCGTCCAGCTACGGACCCAGTGAGAATAATACTGGTAGATTCTTGTAATGACGATGGTTTTGCTCACTGTTGCGAAGAAAAGATAAATTTCAACTGGAAAAGTGAAGACGTCCTGACGACTTTTGTTTCGTTCTGTTGCCGATGATGTCACCATATACATGTAGTCTGGTTCCCGGACCACTGATTTTGGAGTGATCAGAATCTTTGGTCCGGAAACCATACTATACGGTGCCATCATCGGCATTTTGAACAACGTAGTGATTTCGGGGTCGTTTTTTACAAACTAAGGTGTTCTATGATTAGCGACCGCATACAGGCTACTGTGCATCGCTACTGCACATCACACTGCCGAAACAAAGTTGTATGCAAAACTTGGTCTCTGCACCAAAAATTGGTTTCGCTTGGCTTGCGCAAAGCATTTTGGGATAGCATCATTCACGTGGACATCATTTTGTTGACGAAGACCAACCCCAGCGACTGCTGAAAAACACACAAATTGTCAATTTTATGCCAGTTTTACAAGGATTTGAAGGGTAACTGAATTTTTGAACTTAAAAATATTAAACAAGGGGGCCTTGGATTTGAAAAAGAATAGCAGAAATAGAAAGACAGACATCAAAAAAGGGTCAAAACGATGTATTTTTACTGGGATACTGTTGCACGAATTTTCGATGGCGAATTTAAACACCTACATGTACATGTATTTAATGCGGCACGGCATGGGAGAAATACGAAATCAAGCCCTCAGATTTGTGTACAGGAATTCATTTTATGATGGATTATTGTGAAGAAATTATAAATTATTGACATTTAAAGATATTAGAACAATCAAAACCTCCTAATAATAATGAAATTCACGCAATTAGACACCTGTAGTTTAACATCCAGAGGGAATAAGTTTTACAAACAGCATGGCATGTGGTTAAGGAAGTTAAGGAAGAAAAGACCAGGAATTTTTTTAACAAAGCGGCAGCACAAAGAAAATTCTGTGCGAATCGTTCGCCTGCATCGTGCCCATCGTTGGCAAATTCTGCACTAGGCCTAGTGCAAGTGAGCAACGCGACAGGATCAGAAGAGACCAACTGTTCCCCTTGGACTCCTAAATCTATTACCGAGGTATAACAAAACAATTGTTACCTGTGTTGACATAGTCCACGGGTTCTGTACACCCTCGGCGGCGGCTTCACCTCGGGTGCCATTTGCCGCTTCGGGTGTACAAAACACCATGGACCGTGTCACAGCAGGCAACAAATTATGTATAGTGTCATCAGTATCTCTGCATTCCTAATGTTTACTTAAAAGTGACAAAAAAGTGTACAAACACCTGAAATACCTGCTAAAAGGTTTGTTTGAAATACATGTGCATGTTTAAAGTTGTAAAATACTAAAATGACTTCATGAATTCAAGTAAACAGCTGGGCTACTGAGAATCTTCAAAGTAAAGTAAAGAAACACAACTTTAAATACAAGTGTACTTTTTTCTCCACTTACTGGCAATGGATTATCATACATTATTAAATGTCTTAATCAGGCATTAAAATGGTGATACAATACTTGTGACATCAAACATCAAAGAATTAATTCGAACTGCTGTAATTGGAAAAAAATGACATCTTTACCTTATTTACTTTCAGTGTTATAGTCAGTCAATTTTGTTTACTACTTTGTTTACATTAAGAAAAGTTAGTAAACAAATAAGAGTGCATTGTTGACAAACAAAATGAATGCAACTTTGATCCCTTGACTTGTGAGATTAATGACACTGTTGTTAGCTCTTAACCACTTCGATTCTCTTCATTTTTCTTTGTTCTATCCACTAAATCAATAAAAGTTGTTTATCATTCGTTACTATGGCGACAAATGTTTATGTCGTAAACAAAATGATTTGATAATTATGCAAAATTATTAAGAAAACATTTTGGAACCAGACAGTGTTTAAAATACAGGCATTCGCATTTGTTTACGGATTTGTTTACTGTTGTAAACAACAAAAGAATCATTCTCTGGGAACAGTTGAAACAATAGGAAAATGAAGACCATTATCAATGGTGTCGAAAATCTTAAAATGTCAATAACTTGGTCATTTTACTACCGATTTTAATGATTCAAAAAGATTATTGATCAGAATTAAGTCCTTAGCAATAATAGATGAACACATGCTCATTGCTGCAAAACAATTTTGGAAAATTGTTTGCAGTCCCTACTACGATGCCTCGTTTTGCTGATTTGTGATCATTTCCAGAGCCATTTTCACATCCCGAACACAAATGGCTCTGGAAATCATCACAAATCAGCGAAACGAGGCATCGTAGAACACCCTAATAGGCAAAGTATTTATGGGGGCCATAGAATCCTCCCAGCCGGTTTTTAGGGGGATAATTTCAGAAAGGCATTTTTTTCCCATTTCCTGGATTTTTTCCACATGTGGATGTGATACCAAGGAATAAGACGCAGTCCCCTTGGCATCAAACTGGTGCTACGTTACGGCTAACTCGTTAGTGTCACTGCGTATGTGCCTAAACTCGAGTATAGAGGCTGCCATGTGGGATACTCGATTTCGCGAGTCCGTACAGACTGTAGTCATGGTCCAAGACGATAGTGATCGATAGTGGATAGTGTACTGCGCGCTCTGGAATTACACCACTGTCCCGCGTCATGGCCAGTCACACTATCGTCTTGGGACTTTTGCATTGGAGGTTTAACTTTTTCTTTATTTTCTCCTTGGCTTTCCGAGGGAAACAATCAGCTGTCGCAAAATGACTTTGCCTTTTGCAGACCAATTAGGTGTGTCAACCACAGTTCAAACATACGCGATGTGCAGTGATCAATCATCCATGCATTCTGAGGGAACCAATCAAGCGCGATCGACCATTGTAAACATGACACGCTAAAAACAAGGAGCTGCGTTAGAGCTGGAACTGCGTGGTGTTTTGTTCGAATTTAAACAGTGATTGGCATAAAAGGAAAATGCCCCACTTCTGCTAAAGTCCCAAGACGTTGGTATGAGAGAGGAGAAACCGTTTATTAGGCTGTTCAGTGACGTCACAAATTTGTTCGGACGACTGGCGTTTCACACTACTCAACATGATACAAAAACAATTATTTACAAAGCCTGATCACCGACATACAATATATGACTCACATATTGTTACTGAATATCTCATTTCTCATCTGTGAAAGTTTTAATTCAATACAACCAATATTAAGAAAGTTACGGTATGAAAAACGGTGAAAAAGTCACCTAAATCTGGAACTCCACGCACGCGCGTGATCGGCCCAGTTTTTACCGAGACTCGCTCCGTATTGACTTGCCTTTCCAGAAGCAGGCACAGGGGTTGTAAAGGTCTTACCATTGTGAAAATGCTGGGTATGAAGGGGGGTTAATGGGTTACATTTTGAGGGGTCAAACGGAAAAATTGGCCAAGAATTGCAAAAATGGCAACAAACAGAAGATTTCAGTGGCATATTTATTACATCATTTTTGTATTTTCTGCTCGTTTGGGTTTTAATATTGATAAGTGATAGTAATACTTCAATAGCACTCCGCACTAATGACGTCACATACCCGGATGTCAGACACACTTTCCACGACTGCACTAGCGATCGCGGGGCTGGGGAGTGGCCGTCCATGTCAATCATGTTGTAAAATGGCTTCGACAAGTACATTCATCAACATTACTCTAAACGAAGATGACAGTATCCCCGGCGCAAAACTGGATGTTGACCATCTTGAAGAATATTCTAACACCCAAATGAAGCCTTGGTTGCAATGCCGTGGACTAAAAATTACCAGCAACAGGAGCGACTTATTCGTCTTGTCGAAATCCTTTCGTTCACAGGCTTGATTCCAGTGATCGCATTATTCACCTTGCGTAACTGACTTTGGGAAAGGCAAAAAGAAAACTCCTTCCATGTGGGGCTTGTCATAATATCTTGAGTCACTGTTACAAGTGCCATAACAGCAATGTTTAGTAGACACAATGTCGTTTTTGCTTTATAAAACGTCTAAAAAACCATGAAAGACAAGGCAAGACAAGACGAAAAACACACTCAGACATGCACAGTTGCAGCACCGATGTGAAGTTAGTTCCTCGTTCCTCGTTTAACGTTCGACATTCAACGTTGAACAAG